CCCCAAAACCCCAAAACCCCAAAACCCCAAAACCCCTAGATGTTGGTTATGAGTTGAAATAGTAGAGGAATTTAAGGGGAAGATTATTAGGCAGAGAGACCAAATTGAGGTATTTAAGGCTTATAGTTAAAGTCAGAGATATTGTCGTTAGAGATGAATTCACTCTCATACTCATAGAATTCATCTTCTATAGGTTCTTTTAGCTCTTTGTGATGCGCCATGAGGATTAATTTTAATAATCTGTGTAGCTTGTCCAAGAATGTCACTGGAGCTTCTTCCTTTAGTTCTTCCTCTTTTTCGCTTTCAGAATCTGAGTTTTCTTTATTGAATTCCATTAAGTTAGCTCATCTGCCTATAAATTCTAGAAATTCAGTAAGCTTTAAATGGATTGAAACTGGCTTGCGCATCTCATCCATGATGGTCATTCTTGACATTCCAAATCAATGAGTCACTTGAAATAAGTTTAATCCAGAATTGATTTTATTCGTCATTAAGTCAATTCATTTTTCTAAGCTCATCTTGTTATTGATCTCTCTCAAAGAGTCAATATTTACTTGGAAAATATCATTTACTTCTAAGGTCCAGAGAATCTTATCCCTGAACTCTTTCCATGGTTTTGGGAATGAGTATGGTAAGATATTATGTTGTATCAGGTGCTCAAGAGCTTCTGCATAAGTTGCAACATCTCCATGCTTATTTGTATCGATCATTAGCTATCCTAACTAAAATCTCATAGAATTCATATCTACATAACTCAAGTTTAGAGTTGAGATCTTCTCTCTTCTCAATCTCATAATTAGTTGCAACAAAGAGTGTACCGAGTTCAGGTCCTGGCAACTTTTCATCTATTATTCTAAATATTAAAGCAAAAGTTTACCCAATTTGTTCTGCATATTTGAAGAAGTCAAATCTTGAAATTAGCGGGTACTCAGAACTTGATATAAGGTCAATATAAATATGCTTCAGTTTAGGTAAATATTTGAGTAATACTTGGATCACACCTTCATATTCTTTCTTATCCCTAATCATATTTGGCACTTTCCAGTATTTTATGTCATTAATCAGTGTTTTGGTGATGATAGTAGGGTTATCTTCCTTCCATTCTTTAAACACACTCGTATTTTTATCAAACTTTCTATATTTTTCAACAACTTTTAATTTTCGTTTTCCTATAAAGAATTGGTTCAAAAGTTACTGATCTGAATATCTTCTTTTCGAATCGGAACACTAAAGATAAAGCGAAGGCTTACTGAAATTTGTAAAATATTTCCTTGAATTTCTTTTCAAGAGTTGTGTAAAATATCACTCAAGCATGCATCCCAGGCGTTATGAAACTAGCTTGGCAAAATGTAAGTTCTGTTTCTATTAGATGAGCTCTATTCGGTCAGTTTTAGAATTATACCTTCTTCCTAAATCTGGTACATGATGTATTTTATATGAAGATTCATCCCTGAGTTTATTATAACCGCAAATATTATGGTCCATTTCATGTCTATACGCAAGAAGAGTTTGCTGAGGTTGGATAATTTCCTGATCTGAATCTTCAGAGTCTTCATCGTTCCTTAGAAGTTGTGAGAGATTATCAAAATCATGCATCTTATTTTATCTTCCAATCTGTGTGGGTTCCACAGATGTAGGTAGTATTTTCTTCTAAATTTCCTACTTCTAGTTCATAAAACAAAGGGTTATGGTGCTTTACATATCGCATAATTAATGCTTCTTCTGCTTTATTTACTGTTTTTGGAAGTTCTTCGAGATATTCAAGAATTGATTCAAACCTAAAAAGTAAGATGAGTAATACCTAATAACTGTATAATGAGATCGATCACAGATGAATCAGGAGTCAACCTCTTTCCAGTGTGACATATCAGCAATTTCTCTATGGTTGATAAGCCTCACAAATATCATCGCTTCTTTTGTGTTCAAATCTTGTTCATTTTGATTTGGGAATACAGTCCTTCGTTTTTCCAAATCAATTTCTCTTTTAATGGCTTTATCTCAAACATTTGTAGCCAGCTTATTTGTCGGAAATTTTGGTAATACGCTGAAGGAAGAATTTTTCTTAGATAAATTTATCACATTAGAATGAGTAAATGTGCCGAAAAGATCATAATCTTTCTTTATATCCAGAATTTTAGTTTAGCTTATCCCGATTCTTTAGAAGCTCTTCATTGCCACTTAGATGTACTGAGAGTAGGGATTCGGATCTTGATACTCATTTTAGAAGAAAAGCTCCTCATTCAAAGCTCAGGTTCATATAAGACATATTGAGATGAATTAGGTTGGAATTACTATGTTTGTTAGTACCAAAGATAACATTGCTGAAGAACTTCCAGCAATACTTCAAATTGTTTTACTTACGTAACACCAGAAGGATTAAATTGGCTTGCCTTAATTTTAATTGGTCCACTACTGAGAAACACAGAAATAGGTCTAAACTTGAAGATATTGAAATCAGGGAGAGAGTTTCAACTAATATTGAAGTCTTGTATCTCACTTGCCTTCTCAAGAGCAGAAAATATCTTTAGATTCTTGTGAGTCAACATCTTGTTTGAGGCAACATCGAAATGAGTTAGAGATTTGTTTGATTTCAGCATTTTTCAAAGAATTTCTACAGTTTTATTGTCTATAAAAATGTAAGTGAATTAAGCTCTTATACAAAAATTCAAATAATCTTAAATTTTGATGAAAAACACAACATTTTATATGGCTGTAAGTTTAGTTAATTTTATGCCATGGCTTAAAATTACCTATAAATTATTGGACCCTATAATATCAGTTTTGAAAACTTACGAAGACTCAATTTCTTAAGAGATATTTTATTTGCTATGAATCTGAGAAATTACAGAATCAAGCACAGAAGGATGGTATTTTAACTGATTCAATCTGAGTTCATTTAATTTTGGTAGCAATTCCAGAATTATTTCTAATGATTCTTTTCCTACTTCGTTTCTTCCTATTACAAGAGTATGAAGATCCTTTAAATGAAGAGCTCCTTCTAAAATTTTCTTGAGGATAGAATCTGACATTCAATTATTGACCAGATATATTCTCTTTATTTTTAAGGGTGATTGGATTCATGTGTTCTTAAAGGCTTTTGCATTCCCCATGTTAATGAGATAATCACAGAGAGATAAAGCATTCTTGTTGATGTGAGTTAATATCCTCAAGGCTGGATTATACTCACTAGTTCATTGCTCATAGTAATCACTGAATGCCTTATTTGCTAAAGTATTATGTTTGCATACTACTTATTAATTTTGATGGGGTGGTTCTTTTTCCTAAAAAAATTGGATCTCATTCTTGAAATGCTTAGAAACCTCCTTCGAATTTGATAGCTTACTCGAGTTTAAAAACTCAGTAATTGTATCTCTTTGATCAATTATTTTAACAATACTATCATTCCATTTTTCTTCAGAATTGAAATCTTCCATAAATTTCTTTAATTTTTCGGTCTTTTCATCCTTCTTAATCTTTCTTAGAGTTTTATTTAGGGCTAGTTCTTCCTCCAAAAAGTGGATGCTCATCTTCATATTTTCCTAAAAGTAATCTTATATCTAAACTGTTCAAACTTAATAAAGCCTAATTATTGCTAAATTTGGTTGGTTGTCAAACATATAGTTCCAGGTTGCTTCTTAATCAAGCTAACACATTGCTTGGTCCCTCCGAACTATTCAAATTCTGTTGCTGGCACTATACCTTTATTATGAGAGTTTGTTCTCTGCTCAAGTGACCTCCTGGTGATCACATTCTTATTGCCTAGTTCCATAGGGTTTACATATCTTCTTGCATGCCTTCTATTATTGTTGAGAAAACTGAAGTTGAGGGTGACTCTTTTCTGTGTTCCGTCTGATATAAACTTGGCTCTGTTTATTGTCAAGTTGGAGCATTCTAGAAAAGAAGTTAGATAGGAGGAGAATTAGGTACTTTTAAGACAACTGTCAGCATTTCTAACTCTTTGAGATCTTGTGAGGGAGTTCTGTGAGGATAAGAGAGTTTTTGATTTTTTTAAACTCTCTAAAATCTTTTTGTTTCGTTGGTTTTTGGCCATTTCTATGGATAAGTTTGGAAGTACTTTTCGGCTTTGAGACTGGTCTATTTTTGCTCAGTTGTCGGATCCATAGATGTAAGGAAGGTATTCATTTCTTTAGGAGGAGAGTAGTTTGCTTTATTTTCCAAACTACGATGTCTATAAAAGTCCTATCAACCAAATTCGACCATAAAATCTATCTAACTTTCTTCTGTCTCTCAGAAATATGGCTTAAAATCTTTCTGCCAAATTCGTGCCTTGGCTTACCTTGGCCTAAGTGACTGGTCCTGAGTTTTTATCTGAAAGGAGGTGTGTTGAGGTAAACTTTCCATGGGATTTTGAAAACTTAGTCTGTGAGATGTATGATTTCTACCTCTTTGAGAGTAGTTGAAAGAGGGCTGGCCAAACTTTTGGGAGATAAGAGAGTCGTTGTAGGTTGTGGCTAGAGAGAAGGGAGGTCTAGTTAGAGAGCTCTCAGTTCGATTGAGGCTTTGGAGTATTGGGTCATAGTTTTTGAACTTTTTGTGATTGTAGTCTATTCTAAGAAAGTTCTTATTTTGATGTCTTCGCAATGGGTTCCAATAAGCTATCTGTAATTCTTGGTTGTTGACTTCTTCTAATATTACTATTTTCTGCTTCAAGATCTTTTAAATTATCTTTATTAATGATAAAGTTTCCTTCGAGAACTTTCCTGTACATTTTGAGAGGAATATCATGCTTGTACTGTTGATACTCAGGTTTCTTCTTATATAACTTATATGTTATATTAGCTGTGTCGTTAGTATTCCTCTATATTTATGACTTAACCTAACTAACCTTATCATGGGAGGGTTTATTTAAACATTTGGTTTTTGTTGTTGCCTGAAGTTGATTCATCCTGATATATAATCTTGTAATTCATATCTCCTCTGAGACAAGACCGCAGACTAAGAGGCAGCATTTGAAGGTCAAAGTTAGGATTCCAAGGTAATTTTGTATCTTTGGTTGTCTTGGGTTCTGAATTTTTTCTTGAATTTACACCTTTGTTTTGCATATTTTATATTATTTTTAATTCAATTTAAATTGGAATTTAGGGGTTTTGGGGTTTTGGGGTTTTGGGGTTTTGGG